CAGCATTTTCTTTCCTTTTTTCGGGACCTGTTTTTTCCCGGTTGTACTTGCCTTGAAAAGAATTTCTGCTGCTTCTRTCACCTCCATTTCATCTGCTTTCGAATCCTCTGAAGATTGGATCTCCCCCGTTTTGSATACCACTTCCTGTATTTCTGAGTTTGGAACTACTTCCTCACTCTGTGTTATGTCCTTTCCAGGGACAGGAGGACCCTTTTCCTCCGGGGGGCCGATATCCTTCTGTTGGCCCTCTCCCCCCCCAACTTTCCTTCCTCCCCCTCCTCCTTCTCCTTCTCCCCCTCCTTTATAATGGCCTCCTTCCCAGGGATTGCTCCCTTCCCCCGCCCTTCATTCTCTGTGCTTGGAGCAGCTGCGTTCTGTTCCGAAATACCCCATTTGGCTTCCTTTATCTTTTTCGAGCACTCCTCAAAAATTTTGAGTGCTTCCTTGCTCAACGCTGTATCCTTGGGGGGGCSAGGAGCTCCGTTTCCCTCCAGGAGCCCGGTATCTGTCTTTTGGCCCATCTCCCCCTCCCGGTTTCCTTCCTCCTCCTTATCCTTCCCTTTCTCCTTCTCCTTACTAGTGGCCTCTGYRTYAGGGATTCCTCCCTTCCCCCCCTTCACCATCTCCTTCCTACCCTTCACTTTCGCCGCCCATTTCTGACGACTTTTCTCTTTGTTGTCTTTCCGCCTTCTTTCCTTCCCCTTCGAGCCCTTTTCTACAGTTTTCCCTGGGTCATTAATTCGGACTTCTACCGGCTTGAGGGCCCTTTCCTCCCTTTCGTCACCTTCCTTTCCTCTTTCATCCTCCATGTCTTTTTTCTTTCCTGGAGACTAAGTTTCCTTCAGAAGGGCTTTTTTGAAGTCAAGATTAGACTTCGGGGGCGAATCCTTCATTGAATCCTTTTTAATGACCCTAGGGCAATTCGCATCGTTTTCCTTGTGGAACTTACACGCCTTACACCATGACGAATCTGCACATGCCACATCTAACTCCACGTAGCCGTATTCTTCCATGTCGATAATCAGTGTTCTTTTGTAAGCCACACGAGCAGACGGTACTAAATCAAAACGGACATTCCAAAGGTCTGGTGAAATCGGGTCCGCAAACGCTGGGGCGGCCCGTAGAACCTTCCCATACGCCTTGSTGACCGCCCCTCTCAGGTGAGGGAGGACCGAAATCGGGACCTGAATCACTCTAATCCAAAAGAGTTTGAATTTCAGAGATTCATTCCATTCATATAGCTCTTGGTCATTCATCCAGGGTCTGAATGTCAACGAATATCTTTTGTTCTCCAATTCTACGACGTCCTGCTTTTTCTGCAACATCCACTGTGCAATTTCCTTGGCACTAGCCACGTAAGTGACTAGATTTTTTCCTTCGTTGTGAAAGATGCCTCTCTTCGGAGGTGCATTCACTGCCCCAGCCTTAGCCCATCCCTCTTCATAAATTCGTACTAACCTGTTTTTCACCTTGACAGGAAGGGAAGTCGAGTCATCTCCAAAATGGACAGTTACCGAATGTTGCCTCAACCATTCCGCTTGGACTTCAAAGAAGCTTTTATTAACTGAGACTCTCACATAACCTTCTCCGGAATCGACAATCTCTGGGACGAAAACCTCCGGTAAAATGCCATTCAAATAACACTCATTAAGAATAACATTCATTCGCTGTTTAACTTCCTCAGCGGAGGTTCCATCCTGTGGAGCGTTTGAGGTCGACATGGTGCACCACAAGACTGGAATTCTTATCTTATGACTATAGTCGTCACGTACGTAGGAGTAAATAAAAATCACCCTAATTACCCACAACAACCTAAGAGTCGTAAACATCAGCCCGTGACTTCTTATACGTTCCTTCTTTTCGTTGAGCGAAGCCACAACAGACTATAGACCCGGCCTCTGAACCTTCCCTAGCATCCTGGTACGAGGACGTCCTCTCCTAATAGATAAACACTGCTTCCCACACTCCAGAATTGCGGTTGCTGCACACTACTACACGGAGGCGTTACACTTACCCTTGGACAGCTTACCATGGCACTGCCCCACCAGTAGGTCTCCCTTATGCCGACTCAAACTATAYTCCACCGCCRGTTCGCTCCCCTCAGCCTCGGGTGAGATCCCTCCCCTCTTTTCTCACTTCTCCCTTCTCAAGGGAGCTACCAGCTGTCCTGTGGTTGGCCGATATAGTGTCGGCAGTAGGTTTCCCGGAGGACGCCACTGCATCTTCTCTCCTGCCAGTTGACTCGGAAGGACGTTTGCACTTGGAGATCCTCGCAGAAAACGAGCCACCGGGAGGGAGATGCCATAACCCCGGAATCTCTCTCCCTCGCCTGTATCAGCCCACGTTCCTGACCGGGTGCGCATATGTGCAGCTGTTGCGGGACAACGGCTTCGGAGGTGTGATGCCTGGGGAGGGGGGGGGCGGCCTTCGCGTCTTCCTCTAGCCGAAAACTTCACTCACTTCACTCACACCATACTCCGCCATCCCGCTGTCCGCTTTTTGTTTTCCGACCCCAACACGAAGGAATCATTATTCAATGTTCCATTCATTTTCTCTCGATTTCTGCGCGCGTCGGCGACAACACTACCTGCGCTTCGTCCGAAAAAAAACACCGAGGCACAAACATTGCGCGCGTCGTCGGTCATCATCTGCCGGTGTGGTCTTTCCCTTTCCGCCTGTAGTGCCGTGTTTCTCGGGTCTTTTCCATGATAGCGGCCGCAAGCTTTTCAACAAGTAGTTATTAGTTTTACAATTACTGTTAGTCGCCAGCAGCCACTTTCCATCGTGCAAGCTTCTATAGCAGAGTAAGGGAAGGGACATTCCTTCGGGACATCCGTTGAGATTGGAACGATGCAGAGTAGAGGGATAGGGGGAACTCTCTCTCTCTCTCTCTCTCTCTCTCTCTAGGGTCCAGGCTCGTGATGAGTCGGTGAAACTCCGACGAAACAGTTTGTCACAGCCCGTCGTTTGTTGTCCTCTTCTCCCTCCCTGTGTGCCGACTACGGTTTACCGGGGCAAGGTCCCACTTGCGTAAATGAGGAGATTTCGGCCGTTGATCTTTGCTATCTAAGGTCAGTATCTCTTAATTCGTGCAAGTGGGACCTACCGGTAGCCCCCAGGCGGTTCTGTCTGACGGTACATATTTGTAGTCCTCTTCTCCCTGTCTGCCTGCGGCTTACCGGGCAGCTCTGTATGTAATACTTAATTCCGCAAATTTGGTCGAAGTTTCACATTGGTATCTTTCAAAGCACGCGAGGAGGAAGTAGAGGGTACAACTTCGCAGCGAGCGGAGCTAGAACTGAGAGGAGGACATACAAACACTGTCAGCTTTTTTCTATTTTTGGGGGGGGGATATACACACAATGTCATCATACAGCTTCAGAAGACGTGCTACTAGTAGTAGTATGAGGTTTTATTAGCTATTCGCATTTCGAATAGCAAGAGTATTATGCTTATATACATAGATAGGAATGCTCTTTTTAAGTTTTTTACGCCTTTTTATATAATAGTAGGTTTTTTTTTTTTTTTTTTTTTTTTTTGGGGTATAATAGTAGTGTACTGTAGTGGTAAGTAAGGACTCCGAGGAGAAGGAATTAGAACGACTAGAAGCGGTCCATGGGAAACTACTGCATGGAGGGAAGTGGTGACTACCGGTAGGTATAGAGTGGAGTGTTGTTGTAATTGATTTTTTTTTTTCTTTTTTTTTTTCTTAATTGAAACTTCTTTCAACTCATTAGAAGTGTAATTGATAATTTGATATAACTTGTAAGTATAAAAGGAATGGTGGTAAGTTAAGTAAATAGGAGGAGGACGAGTGGATACTGGATAGAAGAAGCCGGCGAAAAAAGCCCGCTCACAAGCAACGACTGCGGCGAGGCGACGAGGACGTAGACTGAACTACCGTAGTGGTTGTGGGTCGGCTAGACTCGAAGAAGAATCGCGCTTGCCTGTGTGTGAATGAATGAGCGAATTTGTGAAGCGTACCCACCTGTAGTAGGACCTGATGGGTGAAGACACATCTCCACATCGTCGTCCTTCATCCTGGGCACACACTGCAGTGCTGCCGCGGGTAGACGCGATCTCCAGTCTGGCTGGACCATCTCTCGATTTATGCGTGTCATCATCCTTGAAAGCGCAGGGGCCATGCTAATCTTCTTTCTCTCTGTATCGTTCCAATTTTAACGGATGTCCCGAAGGACCAGTCTGGCTGGAGTTTCAGTAGCGACTGCCGACTGGCATTCCCAACACCCCCCCCTTCCCCTCCCCGGTCAACAGGGACAGGCCCTTTGTCCTTCGTCCTTCGTCCTTTCGGTAGTGGGGGGACAGAGAACAGGGCCGCGGCTTCGCTTTCGACTTTTTTTCAATTTGTTTATTTTTTTTTTCTGGAAGTTCGCTTTCGATTTCGTTTGGCGGGGCGGAGGCTGCGACTTTACTACCTACCATCTTCCCCCAACACAACGCACCCTCATTTTCGCTGCACCTGGCCGGAAAGATAGCTTGTATACGTTAGTTTTCAGGGTGCGTTATGCTCGGGGGAAGACGGTACGTTCGGGGGAACGCGTTGGCGGGGCGGACTATTTTACCTTGAGTCCGTGTGACTCATTACGAGCCAATCTCGATTGAATCGTACCAGAAAAACGGACCTGATTCAGGCAATAGCGAATCCGCCGAATCGGACCGGAGAGGAGAAGGATTGGTCGGGGGACGACCAGCAACGGGGCGTGCAACGTAGTGCCACGTCAGCAGGTGAGTGGGATCGTGACTCAGTGGGGTCGTCTGCCATCCTCGTTGTCCGTCCCGACCTCGTTTTCCGTCCCGACAGGTCGGTGCGATTTGCGTTTTTTATTTTATTTATTTTTATTTTTATTTTATGGGAAGCGATTTGCGTTTCACTGCACCTCTGATCGGTACTGTCACTGGTGATCTTCCATCGTCGTGGTTCTTCCGTACCTGGTCATCGCAAGCGTCTCGCGGTCCGTTCCGCCCTGGTCGTCACGAGCGTCTAGTCTTTTGGGCGATCGAGGATCGAAGGCGAGGGACATCTTAGCGGGGAGTTGCGCGCAACAGAGACTGCGGAACGCGCGGCGCGGCCGGGGAGGTGCGCGTGGTGTCCGCTTCTTCAGCGGCGCGTGCTCGCCGGGTCGTACGTCGTCGTCGTTGACATTCCAACAAACCGATCGGTCAGTCGATTTTTCTTCTCCGGAGTTTTAACACCGACGCTCTTGACACGGCCGAGGTTTCGGATTGCTTGAATTAGGTGAGGAGAGGAGGAAGGAGGAGGGAGAAGAAGTGTAAGAGCGAACGAAGGAGAGAGAGAGAAAGGTTGGGAGCGGTTGGGGGTAGTGCGACAGGTAAGGTAAGGGAGGAGAGCGAGCATGATGATGCAAGAGGCTGGGCGGCACGTCGCCCGGGCCATCCTCCATGGCAGCGGAAGAACGGGGGCAAGAGTCGCACCAAGCTGGTCGGGACTCATGAGTGGCAGTGCCAGATGCATATCTGGGTCCTCAGTGTTGAGCACGTGGTGGGGACACGTCGGTCCCGCCCCTAAGGATCCGATTCTCGGCGTTACGGAGTCCTATCTAGCAGACCCATCGGACGGAAAAGTCAATGTCGGAGTGGTGAGTTACCTCTTTCTGTAAATGTCCCCGTCGGGCCCGTCGCCTCTTTCCACTCTGTCACATACCATCATCGTTACTTGAAAATGTGTCCCGTTCTCTCTTTTGGTCTTGCTCTTTCTGTATATCCTTTTTCGTTTTGTTTTTCCGTTTTTCTTTGTTTCTCGTTCTGTTTTTCTTTCTCTTTTTTTTCACCCGCTTTTTTTTTCCCTTTGTCGTGGTCGAATTCTTATGAATCTACTTTCGTCCTTAGTTCGATTTGCCGTCGTATTGCGTTAGAGAGGAGTAGACTTTCTCTCCCTCACGCACGCACGCGCGCACACACACACACACACACACACACACACACACACACAC